CAACACCAAGGCTGGTCATTGAAGAAATATTGAGCAAACTGGCCCCTGCTGCACCCCAACCCCACCCAGCAATGGCAGGGTTGCCAGACAGGCTCAGGACAAAGCTTACTTAAGCTCTTCTTCATCCAGGTATCCACTCTGGTCATTGTCTATGAATCGGAAAACGTCCTTTACCTGGCTGGCTGACATCTTGGAGAGGCCTGATGTCTGGAAGAATTTTTGGGGTTCAAAAGTATCTGGGTCTGAAGAACAGAGAATGGATTATTCTGACACTCATTGGATCACATTCTATATTTGGGCCAAGGTGATGAAACACAGGTTATTAAAAAAACTTTCATAATATCCCTGATCTACAGGGATGCTCAACTGGTCTAAGACTTTGACATAGCCAAGACTGATGGCTCTGTGATATCATCACCTGCCCTCTCTTCCCTGGCTTTCCCTCTCCACTTGATTTAGTCTGTCTCCCCCTTCTCTCTCCTCCTCTCCTCAGTGTCTCCCCCTGCCCCCACCCCCTTTACAGGCTGTGTATCCAAGTCCCCAACATCATTGGTCTAATTGGTGAGGAGGAAATGTAAGCATTGGATTCAGAAAGGCTAAATGGCATTCATCGAGTTCTTTTTTTTTTTTCACTGTTAGTAAGTTTCTTTCATTTTATAGAAATGTAATCACATGCTCAGATCCCATTTCCCTATAATTTTAGTTACCTAATTAATACCAGTTTGATTCTCTGGTTCCATGCATTTTTCAGTGAAGTTCACATTTGTATTTCTGTTGCTTTGCTGGAGATGCAAATATGTGAGGAAAACGCATACCTGCCTCCCTTCCCACTTTACCTTGGCATTCCTGCAGGGCTGCTGCAATGTCATCAGCGCTAAGCACGTCTGTGATGCTCATTTTCCACCTAGTCACACAGAATAAACGAAACGTGGTGAATGACAAGCAGGAGCACACACATCCAGGGGAATACACTCTCCTCGGTCCGCTGAAACTGTGTATTTGTCTAGAATTTAAAAAATGCAATAAGCATAGTGTCATAGTATTGAATGATGGGACAGAATATCCAAACAAAAACCAGATACTGAAAAGATCCCAGTCCCTTTTACCTCTGTGCCCTCTCCTGAATATATTCCAAAGACAAAATAAAAAACACCACCTAAAGAACTATTCAATTCAATTTTCTTATAAAAATTATATTTACATAATTGATCACTTACATAAGCAGCTACAAACCATTCAAAAGTAAACCTTGTTACAAATGCACTAGCATTTTTATACCCCAGCCAGAGAGATGCAACATTGCAAATTCCACATGGAAATGATACAGCTTGGGCTGCTCGTAGACCTTCTGCGGAAGACATGCTATCTGTCCTGAAGGGTGGGAATC